GCATCCCTGAGAAGCTCCGCATGTCCTTCTTGGCTTCTGCTTGTCATGAATTAAATATATAAGTCAGATTCCTAGATTAGGCCACAGATCAGCCATTGTTTGAACGATCCCGGGGGAAAAAGCCCTCACGAGTAACTCTGCCGAAAATGTGTTCATTCTAGTCCAAGAGCAGGCCACAAACTCAAAAGCCTATAGGGGTGAGTAAAGCGGGCGGGACAGGGATGGAGGCAAGCAGACGAAAGGGGCACACTCTGGCTGAAGGGGAAGCCTTTCCACTCCGGTCATGGCAACCGGGCAGAAACACAAGGTTCGCGCGGCCAACATTTCTACTTTTCCAAGAGAAGTCAGAAATTCCTATTTTATGTAAAACCTTCTAATTGATAAATGCGGGCAATGAATTCAATTTTAAAAGCATGGTGACCTCCCCAGAATCTAGATCCGTAAATCTGTTTAGCAGCCTGGCAGGGAACGTAGGGTATACCGAGTTCAACACCCTTCTTTTATGGACGGGGAAAATGAACCGCCAAGTGGACACAAGGTTTTCCTACGGCCAAGTAACCAGTTTGGCTGCAGAGCCAGATTGAGAAAGAATACCTCTGCTTTTGGTCTCCTGCATCACTTCTCATTCCACAAATGAGAAGAGAGTTAATGGCTTTAGGCCTAGATAAAAAGTTAATATAGACCCAAGTCTGGCTTACAGGGCCCCGGAACAGTATCGATACACCGTTCTCCTTTACTCTCTTGGGCTTCTGGACAACATATAGGACGCAGGGGGCTATTATTATGAAGCATTCGAGCAGAACATTTTTGTCCCAAATTGATTTTCCCTCACCTGCAGCATACCAGTCTACATGGCTCTGCTCCATGAAAGGAGGGGCTAGCATGTTCCCATTGGGGAAGGGGATTGGTACAGTCATCAGTCCAAGACAAGCAAGGCTCACGCAGCAGGAGAAGATGAAGTACAAAACTTACATTCACACAACACTCCCATTACCCTCAGTGGGAGCTGTGCTTGCAGAAACCGCAGGGTCAGCAGTCGAACGGAGACAGGAATGAGGCACTAAGGCTCAAGTCATAGGTTATTATTAGGACTGAGTAACTCCAGGCCCATATTTGCAAAAGAGTTCATTTTTATTATCTAGTGAGCTCTCCCTCTACTGACTCTTCCAGCAGGGTCTTCGAAAAAAAACCCTGTTTAGACCTCCTCTGTGCTGTCTGTGCAGTTAAAGAAACTTGGCAAATCGCAGAAGTCAGGAGAGGTGCCAGCACTTAGAAAATAGGCTTAGCTGTCTTGGTCCTGTTGGCCCACGGGGTTCATCATCTTTGATTGTTAGTGATCTGGGCCTAGGACAGTGCCTGGTACAGAATAGGTACTTAATAATAGTTAGTGAATAAATGAAAGACTGAATGGATAGCTTCACATTCCTTGCCAGGCTCATTGAGCAAACCTCCCAATCTAATAAGGCAGGATTAGTCACTCCTTTGCTGCTTCCTAGGAGCCATCCAAGGAAAGGCCAAGAATCAATACGAGAAGCAGTCTCTGCTGCTCTCTTGGCGTAGAGCCATGCCCTCTTCAGCCATGTGTGGCTGGAGGTGGGGGGCGGGTGGGATTCTGTTTAAGCTACTGCTGGGCTCTGTCTAGTAGGTAAGCTGCAAAGCCTCTGCAGGCTTACCTGATTTTTAAAAAATATCTGTTTGTTTGTTTTAGAGAGAGAAAGAAAGCGTGAGCAAGGGTGGGGGGTGGTGCGCAGAGGGAGAGAAAGAATCCAGAAGCAGACTTCCTGACTCAGAGCTCCATCCCAGGACCCTGTGATCATGACCTGAGCTGAAATCAAGAGCCGGTTACTCAACCCACTGAGCCACTCAGGTGCCCCTTACTTGATTTTTTTTTTTTTTTTAAGTCTGGGCATCTCATCTTTTTTTTTTTTTTTTAAGATTTTATTTATTTATTTGACAGAAGAGATCACAAATAGGCAGAGAGGCAGGCAGAGAGAGGAGGAAGCAGGCTCCCTGCTGAGCAGAGAGCCCAATGTGGGCTCAATCCCAGGACCCTGGGATCACGACCTGAGCTGAAGGCAGAGGCTTAACCCACTGAGCCACCCAGGCGCACCCCCTTACCTGATTTTTAAATGAATTCTCTTCCTATGAAAACATAGGACTGAAAATACTATGTTTGGTACAATAATCAATTAAGAGAAAATCTGCTCCTTAAACCCATTAAGGCCACTTTTTTCCCCCATTTAAAAAAAATTTTTTATTAAGATATAATGTATTATTAGCCCCAGGGGTACAGGTCTGTGAATCGCCAGGTTTACACACTTCACAGCACTCACCATAGCACATACCTTCCCCAATGTCCATAACCCCCAGCAACCCTCAGTTTGTTTTGTGAGATTAAGAGTCTCTTCTGGTTTGTCTCCCTCCCGATCCCATCTTGTTTCCTTTATTCTTTCCCGACCCCCCTTAGCCCCCATGTTGCCTCTCAACTTCCTCATATCAGGGAGTTGTTTTTTGTTTTTTGTTTTTTGTTTTAATGTAAGCTCTACCACACCCTACATGGGTCTCCAGCTCAAAATCCCGAGACTAGGAGCTGCATGTTCTACCCACTGAGCCGGCCAGGCACCCCATAAATCCAGTATCTTCTGAAAAGGGTTTGTAGCTACAGAATTAGGCCCCTTTTCCTCTGGCTCTGCTATTAGTAAGCATAACATGTATGAAATGAAGGTGAACAAGTGACCTATGTGGTGGGTAAACAGGCAGTGGCTACATGCTTTAAAATTTTCTGCATATTTGGGGACGCCTGGGTGGCTCAGTTGGTTAAGCAGTTGCCTTCGGCTCAGGTCATGATCCCAGCGTCCTGGGATCGAGTCCCACATCGGGCTCCTTGCTCAGCAGGGAGCCTGATTCTCCCTCTGCCTCTGCCTGCCATTCTGTCTGCCTGTGCTCGCTCTCTCTCTCTCTCTGACAAATAAATGAATAAAATCTAAAAAAAAAAAAAAAAAAAAAAATTTTCTGCATATTTGAAAAGGTGATAACACAACGTTGGGGGGAAGGCTGCCCGCTGTCAGAAGAGCTACAGGGAGCTTCTTGGACTGCGATTGGCAGCAAGCCGGTCTTCAGCTGGACCTGCCATCCCATGCTGGTAGCCAACCATACAGATCCAAAGTAGTGACAACTGAAACCATGTGCCACCTACCCTTTCAAAGAACTTCATGTAGACGAGGAAACAAAGGCACGGAGATGTTAAATAATTTTCTCAAGGCCAAAATGCCAAGTGGAAAAGAACTATTCGGTTTGCTGTCAGATTTCGGCCCCTCACCATTCCACACTGTCTCTCGCACTTAAAGGAGAGGAGTCCTCTGTGAGAAGAGACATACGCTCCTAGTTGTCTATCTTGCCTATATTGAATATTCACGTAACTGTGTATGTCATTCTTCTGAACAAAACAGTCTACTTTAATTTATATTATCTAGTAAATATTTTGCCTAGATTCTAGATCAAATCCAAGTCTTACGATGTGTATTTTTGTGGGAAAATAATGTATAAAGTACGTTATTCTTAGGAAAAGCACAACACGAATTACCACATTCCAGTTCAAATTCATCCCTCAACATCTTTTGGGGAACTGAGAATTCAGAAGGACAAGTGATTGACTAAATCCTCCTCTCTCTAAATTTAGAAAACCCTAATAAGCCAAATAACCAGAATGTCCTTTCTTTTCATCCTTTCCCCCTCTAGCAAGACCACTCTGGACTCACAGATGATGAAGAATGCTTAATCCCACCTGTATACCAGCCTAACAAATGCTGTCACTGAAGTAGGTTACAACTGGGTAGATATTGAACTCTAGAACCACAAAAGCACTGTTTAGAATCAAAGTCACAGAGATTAATAGAGCTTAAAAGATACCACCCAGTCCTCTCCTTAGTCTGTAGTATTAAGTCAGGTTCTATGGTTGAACACACTCAGAAATCTAAGAATTTCTCCATTTTTAACAGCTTTATTAAAAGTGGAGTCTGGGGGCGCCTGAGTGGCTCAGTGGGTTAAAGCCTCTGCCTTCGGCTCAGGTCATGATCCCAGGGTCCTGGCATCGCGCTCTCTGCTCAGCGGGGAGCCTGCTTCCTCCTCTCTCTCTGCCTGCCTCTCTGCCTACTTGTGATCTCTGAGTGTCAAATAAATAAAATCTTTAAAAAAAAAATTTAAAAAAAAGTGGAGTCTGGAACATAGAATCTATTCCAATGTTTTACAAATACGAGAATATTTACAAATATAAGAATATCTATAAATATTCTCATACCCCTAATAAAAAAATCTCCTGGGTCATGCCACTCCCACCTTGGTTTTTTTTGCACTGAAGTCAGAGGAATTTGTTGAGATTTTTCTCATTAAAACTCTTCAACGCTTGGGGCACCTGGGTGGCTCAGTGGGTTAAAGCCTCTGCCTTCGGTTCAGGTCATGATCCCAGGGTCCTGGGATCGAGCCCCGATGCTTCCCTTCCTCTCTCTCTGCCTGCCTCTCTGCCTGCTTGTGATCTGTCAAATAAATAAATAAAATCTTAAAAAAAAAAAAAAAACAACTCTTCATCACTTGACAGCTGTTACTAAAGGACTGATCAGCTCCTGATGACAAGGACCATGGCTTATGTATGACTTACACCATTCTGTGTCCCCTAACAAAGTCTTCAAGTGGAACTGGACTTCAATTAAATAATGTTCTCATTTCTAATGATGACATCATCCTGAAATAGTCCTCAATCTCATTCTTTAACTATGGAAGCTAGAAATAAATCTAAGAGTTTCCTAGAAGTTTAACTGGGGCACATTACAAAGAAAAAGAAAACCCACTGTTTTTACATCTCTTACCTCTCTTTATAAAAAATTATCACTCTTTTCCTGATCCAGTAAGGATTTACTATAGATAGTCACTATGGTGTCATTCTTTAGGATCTAATGAGGTCAAAGAGATTCATTATTCATTTGTTTTCTTTGTTCAGTTGCAAGAAAAAAAAAAAAAGTTTGATTTAGAAGTTGTCTGAAGAGCACTTCTACCAAATTTGATTTTGCAATTTTTGGGGCATGATTAGCATGATTTCAGTAGGAGCTTTGTTTTATGAGCAAACATGGTGAAAGTCCAAAAGGTGCTATGCAGGTCAGAAGGAAAATGTTTTTCCTGAGACCCTCTGCCAGCCAGCCAACCGTTCCTCCTGAAGCTCTTCTTGCTCATTGGCCAGGCCTGAAGACCCCGTCTCAGTTCCACATCCGACCACTAAGTGGCACCAGAACTTTGAATTAGCAAAGAGAGAGGAAAACCTGTTTGATCCGCCTTTACGGTCATGTGCTATGAACCTTCAATTAATACCTTATAAAAAATAATCCATTATTTTTAATCAATGACCTAGAATATAGTGGCTTTTGTGCCATTTATTCTTTCATATGGTCTGTGCTGTGGAGAAGGGTAGATTAAAAGACACATGTAAGTCCTTCACTTTCTGCTCCTTTCTTCCGGTCACCTGTAAATTAGGGACAGCAGCCTCCAGCAACGTCAGAGGAACATCTGGGCTTTACATCATCAGACTCTCCTGCAAGCTTGAATGGATCTGTGATTATACCCTGTGAAAAGGAAAGGCAAACCAAAATGAAAGAACAAGTTAAAGGTGTTTGGATGTACTACAACTCTCATATTTTAGTTTGACTGAGATTGGTTTACCCAGAAGATAGGTAAAATTTTATAATTCCATGGGATCCTTGGGTTTCAGCTATAAAGGTGGCTGTCTTGTCCTGAAGCTTCTAGTCAAGTTTTTACTACTTTCTTTCCTTTAAAAAAAAAAAAATTATTTATTTATTTGCCAGAGAGAGAGAGAGAGAGCGCGCACAAGTAGGTAGAGCAGCGGGCAGAGGGAGAAGCAGGCTCCCCGCTGAGCAGGGAGCCCAATGTGAGTCTCAGTCCCAGGACCCTGGGATCATAATCTGAGCCGAAGACAGGCACTTAACTGACTGAGCCACCCAGGTGTCCCAAGTTTTTACTACTTTCAAGGTAAACTTCATTTAAAGCCTCTTAAAGGTGGTCCTTAGGGACCAGGGAAGTTGATTTTGTTTCATTTTGCTTTATGGGAGTCCCATCTGTAATGCCTTTTACCCTTCTGGAACTGAATACCAAAATGCTGAAACTTCATTCCTTCCCTTACTCTAATCTCCAGAAACATGTGCGCAAGACAAGAAGACAAGTCTTAGACACCAAGGCCATTGTTAGCAACTGCTGATGTTCAGATGTTGACATTGCCAACACCAGCTGGCAAGATCTCAGGGCAGAGTGAGTGGAATTTTCAGAAGACAAGATGGTAGTCTTTGTTTTTCCTCCTTTCACCTCCAAATGAGATACCTCCAACAACAGCACCAGTGCGGCCAGAGGAAAACCAGGCACAAAGGCAAGAAATCAAGAGCATAAATAAGCCACCTCGAATAGTGATAATTAATTCATTAAACATAAATGCACACTCTCACTATTGATCACTGGTCACTACAAATAGAAGGCAGGACAAGACAGTTACGGACCCTACATTCATGAAGATAGACAGTCCTACAGACCACTACCTTCACTGAAATAACCTATGGGGAGCCTGGTCCCCCTGGCCCTCAGTTTCCACTCTTCTAGAATGAAGATGCCTGCCTGGATCTGGGCTCCCTAACAGGTAATAAGCTAGCATCCAGCAGGGCTCTCCAAGTCTAGAAGAGGGCTGGCTGTGCCAGTCGCTTCTGCCAGGCCCTCTGGTCCACTGTTTATTTCCTTCTCTTGTTACTTTGGAATTCCTAGTCATAAAAGTTAGCCTCTCCTCCTTTTCAGCCAGGAAAATGATTTTCCACTCCTCTTCTTCCCACCCCATGACTTCTCTACTAATAAGAGATAATGATATCAGTATCACTTCCTAATGCATGCTTCCATCCCTAAAAGATCCCAAGACTTAAAGGAAATAAAAGGTGAGACACTTTGATAAATAGTCCTTTCCAGCACCAACATCCTGTGATTCTATGAAAAGTCTAGATACGGAGAGCTAGTACAGCATATAGGGTAAGAATGTCAACTTCAGAATCTGACATGGGTTCAAATTCACCATTTTCTAGCTCTGTGACCTTGGACTAGTACATTAATCTGAATCTTACGTTCTTCTTCTGTAAAATGAGGATAATTTTAAAAAATTAGTTAATTTTTTTAAAATGAGGATAATAAGGGTTATTGAGAAGACCATGTGGCACAGTGCCTTGAACATCTCACCTGTTCAGTAAAGACTAGGTTCTCTATATTATTCCTACCTTCGCTCACATTGTTACTACCACTACTATTAACTGTAGCAGGATAGTGTGTACCACAGTCCTATATGCATCATTTCCGATGCTGCAGTGTTTTACTAATGTAATTTTTTTTGTAGGCCACATGCCCCGTGTGGAGTCCAATGTGGGGCCTGAACTCACGATCCTGAGATCAATCCCTGAGCTGAGATGAAGAGTCGGATGTTCGACCAACTGAGCCACCCAAGGGCCCCTAATGTAATTCTTTGAATAGCAACATACACTTTCCTTGTCAGGATTAAAAGAGAAGGAGGAAGAGAATGAGGAAGAGGAAAAGAGGAACAGGGAGGGAGGGAGGAGGAGTGGGAAGGGCAGGAGAAAAGAGAAGAGGAGGAGGAGGACAAAAGAAAGAAAAGAAGGGATCTCAGAATCGGTTATCACTGCGTCAATGCTGGGCAAGAAGCAGCACTCCTCATTGGCGGCAGCTGTCAGGAAGTCGCCGGCACCAGCAGTCAGGAAGTCGCCGGCACCAGCTGTCAGGAAGTCGCCGGCACCAGCAACCCCCACGTGTGCCTGCCTGTACTGCGCTCTCGGTCTTTATCGGAAAGGTCTGCCATAAAAAAGATAGGCACGTCCTCCTCCAAGCACACAAGGTTATATTTCTAGGACACGCAGCTGTTTCATTCTTTAAATCTTCCTTCACTGTCAGAGATTGCCATTTCAAAACCTTGGAACTGAGCTAAAGACATTGGCACATCAGCAGGCTGAAAGAAACAAGGCAGATGAGAGAAGACGCAGGTGGGATAAACCAGTTCAAGTACGTGGCAAGTTATGACTGGTATCCGAGGTCAAGAGCCCTCCTCTACACCCCGCGTGCGCACTAACAGGGAGGTCAAGGAGAGCCAGGCTGGAAGAAAGGGGTCTCTGCGGAAGCCAGCCCACTTAATGAAAATTTTTTTAATTTTTTTACAGCCAGAGTACACTGGAAGTGTTGTGGTTGGAGGAAACACTCCTTTTACTTGTAACTGTAACCTGCTGACAGCTTCTCTAACTAGGAATCGGGAAGCTGGGTTCCAGGAGAACTAGAATGATGAAAACATTTCAAAATACACATTGATTCTCACCAGCAAGGTTTTGTTACTGGTGAACTCCCAAGAGTTTCAAAATACCAATATCACATTTGAAAGGTTTCGGAGGACAGAAAGGTCCAAAGTCACGTTTCTCTACTTTCCAAAAGGGCACCTGCTTCGAAAAACAGAAAAGTAACAAACAGCAGAGTGCTCAAGAATTTGATAAAGCAAAACCTGTAGATCACGCTTTAGCGCTAGCCAGGGCTCCTACACTTAGCTTGTGGCTGATTCATGCTGCTAAGAGTGGCCAAACGAGCCCACATCCGGTTTTTCGGCTCCAAAATTCCTGCCTCTTGTGTTCCATTAAACTTTCCCAACTACAGGGGCGCCTGGGTGGCTCAGTGGGTTAAGCCTCTGCCTTGGGCTCAGGTCATGATCTCAGGGTCCTGGGATCAAGCCCGCATGGGGCTCTCTGCTCAGCAGGGAGCCTGCTTCCCCATCTCTCTCTGCCTGCCTCTCTGCCTACTTGTGATCTCTCTCTCTGCCAAATAAATAAATAAAATCTTTAAAAAAAAGAAAAAAAAAAAAACTTTCCCAACTGCAAACTGACCATGTTGGTGAGTGATCTCTAAATAAGCTGTACTCTTAAAGACTGCTTACCACATAACAGGAAGCAGAAAAAGACCTAAGAGTTACCTGTGTGTCAATGTATTCTCAAGGTATCCAAAATTACTACAACATACAAGCCAAAGAAAGCAAAAAATTCATGGCAAAAGATTCGAGAATCTCTGGGCCCAGGAGAAAGGGTGTGTGGAAGAATGAGAAATCCTAGAACATAGTTCCAAGTGACCAAGAATCTTAATTAGCACAAATCCATAACTGTAACAACTTCTGTTTCTTGAGTGTGTATTATGTGCCAGGCAACAGGCTAACATTTTCCACAGAACATCCCCATTGATCCTCACAAGCTGAGGAGAAAAAGTGATTATTACCTTCCTGTTACACATGGAGAAACAGAGCGTGTAGGGAGTGTAGGTAACATACCCAAGATCACACAAGCCTGGTAGAGCCAAGATCTGAGCCTCGCCTATCTGAGTGTAAGGCCTGTGTGTAAACACCAACTCTGCCGCCATCCTAGCACAGGTATGTCAGTATCGTTATTTCCTGGGGCTTCCAACATCCAGTGCCTTGACACATCACTGGTGTGACTTTGGTGAATGCTATTAAGTTCTGTCAGCCAAAATAGCCTTGAAATCCAACACTCAGCCTGTTCTAAATACAATATTATAAATTAATGAATGGATCAATAAAATAATTGGTACCATGAATAGGGGAAAGGATTAAATATATAAGAAAGGCAAAGAGTGGGGGTGCCTGGGTGGCTCAGTGGGTTAAGCCTCTGCCTTCGGCTCAGGTCGTGATCTCGGGGTCCTGGGACCGAGTCCCAGATCGGGCTCTCTACGCGGCGGAGAGCCTGCTTCCCCCCTTCTCTCTCCCTGCCTCTCTGCTTTCTTGTGATCTCTCTCTCTCTGTCAAATAGAGAAAGAAAGGAAAAAAAAAGAAAAGAAAAGAAAAGAAAGGCAAAGAGGGATGCTATTATCTATTATAACTACCTACACCTGCCTTCTTCCTTGGGTAGCTGTAGAGATGACACAAAGTAAATTGTGATAAAATGCTTTAGAAAATGCTACACCAATATTTCAGATACTAAAATAATTCCCAAAAGGAATCTAAAACAGTTTAGAAAATGATCATTTTAGAATATAGTGGTATCCTGGCTCAAGTATACATGCAAGAAATTAAGATATGATCAAAATAAGCTTTTCAAAATGGTGGGGGACTGATTTAATAAGTAAACAGGAAATTTGAACTAGTTAATATTTGGAGAGATAGTCACACTGTATTTCAACATTTATGTTAAAGTGAATTCCAGAGAGTTCAAAATTTTAATGTGAAAAGCAAAGCCATGAAAGTACTAGAAGAATCTATGTGACCTTGGATTACGCAACGGATTTTTAGCTATGACACCCAAAGCAGAAGCAACCAAAAGAAGAAAAAAGAAAAATTCAATTTCACTAAAATTAAAAACTTTTGTGCATCAAAGGATACTATGAAGAGAATGAAAAGACAACATACAAAATATTGAGAAAGTTTTACAAACCATATAGCTGATAAGGGTCTTATATCCAGAATATATAAAGAACTCTTACAACTCAACAATAAAAAGACAACCCAAATTAAAAAATGGGCAAAGGAGCCTGGGTGGCTCAGTCAGTTAAGTGTCGGACTTTTGATTCCATCTTGGGTCATGATCGCAGGGTTGTAAGATTTAGTCCCATGTTGGGCTCTGTCCTGGGCATGAAGCCTACTTAAATTTCTCATTCTCTCCCTCTCCTGCTACCCTACCCCTCCTCCCTCTCTCTCCCTCTCTTAAAAAGAAATGGGCAAAGGATTTGCATAGACATTTCCCCCAAAGAAAACATACAGATGTCACAAACATGTGAGAGGATGGTTAACATCACTAGTCACTAGTCACTAGGGAAATGCAAATTCATACCACAATGAGGTACTTCACACCAACTAGGATGGCTACAATCAAAACTAAACAGAAAATGACAGAGTGTTGGCAAAGATGTAGAGAAATTAGAAACCGATACATTGCTGGTAGAAATTTAAAATGGTGGCCGCCTGGGTGGCTCAGTGGGTTAAGCCGCTGCCTTCGGCTCAGGTCATGATCTCAGGGTCCTGGGATCGAGTCCCATATCGGGCTCTCTGCTCGGCAGGGAGCCTGCTTCCCTCTCTCTCTCTGCCTGCCTCTCTGTCTACTTGTGATCTCTGTCTGTCAAATAAATAAATAAAATCTTTAAAAAAAAAAAAAAAGAAATTTAAAATGGTGCAGCCAGGGTGGAAAAGTTTGGTGGGTCTCCAAATAGTTGGATGTAGAATTACTGGATGACCCAACAATCCCACTACCAGGTGTAGACCCAAAAGAAGTGAAAACAAGCGCTCAAACAAGGACACATACATGCATGTTCACAGCAGTACTGCTCGGGATAGCCAAGAGTAGAAAGAAGCTACTATCAGCTTGATGAATGGATGAACAAAATGTGGTATATACATGCAATAGAATATTATTCAGACATAAAAAGGAATGGAATACTCACTTATGGATAAACCTTGAAAACCGTATGTTAAGTAAAAAGGTCCAGATACAAAAGGCCATGGGACACCTGGGTGGCTCAGTTGGTTAGGCGGCTGCCTTCGGCTCAGGTCATGATCCCAGTGTCCTGGGATCGAGTCCCACATCGGGCTCCTTGCTCAGCAGGGAGCCTGCTTCTCCCTCTGCCTCTGCTTGCCATTCTGTCTGCCTGTGCTTGCTCTCTCTCCCTCTCTCTCTCTCTGACAAATAAATGAATAAAATCTTTAAAAAAAAAAAAAAAGGCCATATAGTATATGATTCCACTTATATAAAAATGTCCACCATGGGAAAATCCAGAGACAGAAAGCAAATTAGTTATGGACAGAGGCCAAAGAGAGGGGAGATAGCAGAATGACTGCTTAATAAGGATGGGATTTGGGGCGCCTGGGTGGCTCAGTGGGTTAAAGCCTCTGCCTTCAGCTCAGGTCATGATCCCAGGGTCCTGGGATCGAGCCCCGAATCGGGCTCTCTGCTCAGCAGGGAGCCTGCTTCCCCCTCTGTCTCTGCCTGCCTCTCTGCCAACTTGTGATCTCTCTCTGTGTCAAATAAATAAATAAAATCTTTAAAAAAAAAAAATAAGGATGGGATTTTTGCGGGTTAAGGAAAGTTTTCTGAAACTAGATAGTAGTGATGACTGCACAACTAGGTACTAAGGCCACTGAATTGTACACATTAAAATGGTTAAAATAGTGAATTTTATGTTATATGAATTTTATCTCAAAGTGTCTAAAGTACTAAAAGAAAATATAGGTGGGGCCCCTGGCTGGCTCAGTCAGTGGAGTATGCAACTCTTGATCATTGTGAGTTCGAGCCCCACCTTGGGTATAGAGATTACTTAAAAATAAAATCCTAAAAATTAAAAAAAAAATAGGTAAATTCATAATGTTTACATGGAGAAAGAAGGTCTTTCTAATCATAAGATAAGAGGCAAAAACCATTAAAGAACTGACTATATAAAAATTGAAAATGTCGGGGCGCCTGGGTGGCTCAGTGGGTTAAGCCGCTGCCTTCAGCTCAGGTCATGATCTCAGAGTCCTGGGATCGAGTCCCGCATCGGGCTCTCTGCTCAGCAGGGAGCCTGCTTCCCTCCCTCTCTCTCTGCCTGCCTCTCTGTCTACTTGTGATCTCTCTCTGTCAAAGAAATAAAATCTTTAAAAAAAAAAAATTGAAAATGTCTATTCAGGAAAAATAAGCAAAAAGATAGATGATACGCTGAGAAAAAATGTTCACAACATATAAGACAATCTTTTATAGAGCAACAAAAAAAAGCAAATACCACTCTAATAGCAAATAGTTAAAGAAATTATATAGGAAGTTCATAATGGATAAAATATAAGTGGCCAATAAGTATGCCAAAAGGTTCAATATATGCAAAATATAACAACAAATTATTTTCTGCCCATCAGACAAAGATTTTCAAAAATAATACCCAATATTAGTAAGAGGGCAAAGAAAAGGTATTCTCATACATTGCAGGTAGGCGTGTAGATTGGTATAATCTTTCTGCAGGGCAATCTGACTATCTCAAACTTACAAATGTTTCAGGGGCGCCTGGGTGGCTCAGTCAGCTAAGCATCTGCCTTCGGCTCAGGTCAGGATCCCAGGGTCCTGGGATCAAGCCCCGAATCAGGCTCCCTACTCAGTGGGAAGTCTATTTCTCCCTCTGCCTCTCCCCACCCCCAGTCCCAAGCTTGTGCTCTCTCTAATAAATAAATAAAATCTTTTTTGAAAAATTAAAAAAACAGGGCGCCTGGGTGGCTCAGTTGTTGGGTGTCTGCCTTCAGCTCCAGTCATGATCCCAGAGTCCTAGGATCGAGCCCCGCATTGGGCCCTCTGCTCAGCAGGAAGCCTGTTTCTCCCTCTCCCACTCCCCATGCTTGTGTTCCCTCTCTTGCTCGCTTGCTCTCTGTCAAATAAATAAATAAATAAATCTTTTAAAAAAATTTTTTTTTAAATTTAGAAAACAAACGCTTGAATAATTTTTTCCAAGGTAGCTCTTAATCTTTTTTGTATCTGGACTCCTTTAAGAATCTGATGAAAGTAATAGACCCTTTCTTGAGAAAATACACATATACACATAAAATTTTAAGGGATTCATGGATGCCCTGAAGTCCCTTCATGGGTACACCAAGTTGAGAGTCTCTGACTTACTATCTAGATTGGAAAAATAAAGTTATGAAATTAATTCAAATCATTTTGTAAGATACAAACAGGCTACAAATTATTTATAGCAGTCAACTAAAAGAATAATGATTTATTATTTTAGCAGTCAGTGGCAAGTTAGGGATTGAAAGCCAAACAAACCTTTGATCCTAAAGCAGAAGAGACACTACATGCTGGCAGCTTCTCTCCAATTGGTCTGATCAGAAAATTCTGGGCAAATCGTGAATTCTTCAAGATAGCTGCTGTTTCTTCATCCACTTCAACAATTTCACCTTCCTGAAGGGCAGCAGGAAAAACACACTTACTGAGAAATGCCACTTTAACCTCAATAAAAGAAATGCAAAGGTTTTATTAAGGAGTAACAGTTTTAGGACAAAAAGATGATATGATATTCTCTTCTATTCAGACCCTGCTATTAGTTTCATGCTGATTTCAAAATGCAATTGACCAGTGTCATAATCAGTTTTTCTTTGGTGGCAAGGCAAAAAAAAAAAAAAAAAAAAAGACACTCATTGTTCTCAGAGACAGATGTAAAAAATATAGGGAAAAAAAATTTGAGTATCACCTTATTCATCATAAAAATGGGGTTTTAAATTAATAGTTCATGTGTATTTCTGTGAGCTCCAGTGTGCCTGGGAACACTAAAACTTGAGAACTAATACCTTGAGAACCAGGAGTGAGCACAGGAGAGTCTGGGCTATCTAACCCCTGCTCCCTTTAGGTAAGTTCTGCATTCACCCCTTCATATACTGGGGTTATATAAAGTAACATCTGACACATAGTAAGTTTGGGGTTTTTTAAAATTTTTTTGAGATTTCTTTATTCATTTTGAAAGAGAGAGTGCGAGAGAGAGAGCATAAGTAGGAGGAGCGGCAGACAGATGGAGAGGGAGAAGCAGACTCCCCACTGAGCAGGGAGCCCAATGTGGGGGCTCGATCTCAGGACCCTGAGATCATGACCTGAGCCAAAGGCAGACACTTAACTGACCGAGCCACCCAGGTACCCCAAATATTGTTTTTTTGTTTTGTTTTGCTTTGGTTGTTTTTTTTTTTTAAGATTTTTTATTTATTTATTTGACAGACAGAGATTGCAAGTAGGCAGAGAGGCAGGCAGAGAAAGAGGGGGAAGCAGGCTCCCTGCTGAGCAGAGAGCCCGATGCAGGGCTTGATCCCAGGACCCTGAGATCATGACCTGAGCTGAAGGCAGAGGCTTTAACCTACTGAGCCACCCAGGCGCTCCCCAAATACTGGTTTTTTTAAATAAGATATTCCTTTTAAAAAGAATTCTCTTAAAAATGTTTTTTTGTTGGTGGTGGTTTTTTTTTTTTTTTTTGAGAGCCACTGTATCAGAGCAATGGGTTCAAAGGCCTTTCCCACTTTGATTCTGTGACTCTCCAAAGCAGGCAGTACATCAAGGGGCAGCAGATCAGTGAAAAGGCATCAATAGCTCCATTGCACCAGGGGGTAGTTAAGAACTTTGAAGGTGCTACTTGGACCAAAAAAATCAGAGGTGGAAAACACTAAATCCTTCTACCTTTGGAACAATCATGCTTGTATCTTCTATTTACTGAGTGCCCAGTGCGTACCTAGATTCTGCTATATTATTACTAATCTTTATTAAAATTTTATTCTTTAGGTAATCTCTACACCCAACATGGGGCTTGAACTTACAACCCGGAGATGAATAGTCATGTGCTCTACTAAGTCAACCAGTCAGGCACGCCTATGTTATTGCTAATCTTACAGAAATTCCTCACAGTAGGTATTATTATCCTACTCTTGCAACGTAGCAAACTATATCTCGAAGTAAGACTTATTCAAGTTTATCCAAGTAATAAATAATGGAGCCATAATTTGAACCCAGGAGTCAGATGCCAAAGCTGATACTTTTCCATATTGAGAGAATAAAGACGGCCCTGCAAAGAGTAGTAGAAATATCAAAGGAACACTAAGAGTTCCTTCATTCGTGATACAAGTGAACCACTGAAATACTGTTGCACAATACTTCTATTCTTTTCCATCCCACTTCTCTGTAATTCCATTAATCTGATGTCTGATGGATGCTTTCTATAAAAGATTTTCGTAGGTGTGATAGTGACACTGTGGTTATGTAGGAGAATATTCTTAGGAGATGCATGTTGAAATATTAAGGGTAAAATGTCACGATGTCTGCTTTTAACGGTTCAGCGAAAGCATACATACACACACGCATGTGTCCCTACACCAGGAAAGTGAGAAGCAATGCAAGGTTAAGAAAGGGTACCTGGAGGGCACCTGGGTGGCTCAGTGGTTTAAGCCTCTGCCTTCGGCTTAGGTCATGATCTCATGGTCCTGGGTTTGAGGCCCGCATTGGGCTCTCTGCTCAGCGGGGAGCCTGCTTCCCCCTCTCTCTCTGCCTGCCTCTCTGCCTACTTGTGATCTCTGTCAAATAAATAAATAATCTTTAAAAAAAAAAACAACAACAAAACAAAACAAAGCAACAATATTTGGGGTACCTGGGTGGCTCAGTCAGTTAAATGTCTGCCTTTGGCTTGGGTCATGATCACAGGTTCCTGGGATTGAGCCCCGCATCGGGCTCTCTGCTCAGCAGGGAGCCTGCTTCCCCCTCTCTCTCTGCCTGCCTCTCTGCCTACTTGTGATCTCTCTCTCTCTCTGTCAAATAAATAAATAAAATCTTAAAAAAAAAAAAAAAAAAGAAAGTGTCCCTAGAGCAAAAATAAAAGTAGAAAGAATGTCCAAAATCATGGAATTTTTTATTTACCTTAAATGTGAAATTTGCATCAAATATCAGTTCTTTTTCGTGGCCTGTGATTCCTCCATTGTAAATCACCTGGCATCTTTCAGCTGGTCCCGTCTTAGGGAGTTTGAAGAGGCGAAATGTTGCAGAAACAAAACGACAGTCACCTAAAACAGAATTCACCCATGGTTCAGCTCCAGCACCAAATGGCTATTGGTTTGCTTAGCAAACGAAGAGCCCACATCATAAAGGTGATTTTCTTCTTTGCATGCCATCAGTTATCTTTCTGGCAGTTCACTTCATTTACTGAATAACTGAAGTGCTTTATTAAATACCAAACTCTGGGAGGTCGCTATTAAACAGAAGACAGGATGGATGTTTCCAGATGACCCAAAGTCTCCTTCAATGACAGCTATTCAGTACACACTTGCTAAACACCACATTTGAAAAAACAAACAAAACCCCACCACATTTGAACCCTTCAAGGAGCAGTTTTAAAATTCCCCGCTGCTCTTTCTTACCGATCACTCTTTCTAATTCCTTGTTTTGAACTGTAATGAGATTGGCAGTGACCAAACGCGGGGTGCAGAAACCAATTTTTTGGGCAAGGACGGCAAGGTCCTTCCAGTACAAAGCACCACCCAGGCACTCACCTAAAAAAAAAAAAAAGAAAGAAAAATCACAGACCACAACTAGGTATTCAAGAAATTACTCTGCTATAAAAATTATCAGGCATAGTTGGGGTTCCCGGCTGCCTCTGGAAGAGCATGTAGCTCTTGACCTCAAGGTCATGAGTTTGAGCCCCACATTGAGTGTAGAGATTACTTAAATACACAAACTTAAAAAAAAAAAAAAAAGGATATGGTGTTAGTTAAAATATATATCCTAGAAACAGAAAAGGGACCCGAGTGTCCCCCCAAGATCTAGAAAGTCACAGTTAAAATGAAATATGCTAGCTGATGGCCTCTGGAAACCATTTTTCAAGACAGTCACTAATGTGCTGGTTCTATCCAGCTGCAATCATATTTCTGGATGGATTAGGCTACCTTCTGAAAAGCAGTACACTATGTGAGTAAAAAAATATAAAGGATAATTTACAAAGTTGCCTATTAGTTCCAGATTATCATAAATAACCTGCTACTAGAATAATAACTACTACTACTAGTCATAAGGCAATTTAAAGTTTTTAAAATTTATTATATCAACAAATTAGAAAGAACCCAAGTGATTACCCATACAGAAACGGTCAAATAAATGATAGCATAGCTGTACAATACAGTTGTAGTAGAATACACACACGCAAAACACATTTTTAGAGATTTTAGGCTTAGGAAACATGCCAAATAAAATTAGGATACTAAATTCTACAGATAGCATGCTCCAAATTTTATTATATACACACACATACCCTACAAGGATCTATACTAAAATGTTAAAGAGGTTATTGCCACGTTACATGGTTAAGTAGTAATTTTTTTCTTTTTCTTTTTGTATTTTCCAACATTTTAACAATATTCATTTGTTACTGTGTGACAGGAAAAAAAGTTAACAGAACTTACTCTAAAAGTAAGAACTGTTTGTTTGTTTTTTTAAATGGGATTCTTTTTTTCTTGCCCTTTTTTTTTTTTTTTAGTACTCTCTATACCTACCATGGGGCTTGAACTCATAGCCCTGAGATCAAGAGTCACATGCTCCACTGAAAGAGCTCACCAGGTGTCCCTAAAATTAAGAACTTTTAATTCTTAATTTAAAGTTATCCACAATCAGATGGACCACAGGCATGCATTCGTCTCCTCAACTTCCAGAGACTCCATTTAAGTGACGATAAGGGAATAAATAACATAGTAACACTGAGAACAGAAGGAGATGAAGGAGCTTCAGTCCCCAAAGGGTTGCCATGCGACAGTTTTCAAAGTATTTTTCATATCCACTATCTCATTTAATCTTCATAATAGCCCAATAAGGAAGATTGTATTATTCTCTGCATTTTACAATTTGGAAAACAATGACTCAAAGAGACTAAATAAACTGTCCAAGGTCATACCACTCTTGAGTGGCAGAGGAGAAAGGGGACAGAAGCCACCACACCTAGTCCCAACGTTCCCACATCGCAAAGCCTCCTCCTGGATATTAGCAGCTGGAGCTCTGCACATGAACAAGTATCAGCCATAAAACAAAACAAAGCAACACTTACCCCATAAAATTCTGTGTGTCCTGATTTCTTCTGGCAATTCAAGGTTAGCATAGACGTCACTGAAATACAGCTCCCCACCATGCTGAAGGAGCAGTATTAGTACAAACAAGGTTAAAGATGACATTAGTCCCAGATAGCAAAGAAACGATTGAGGAGAGAAAATCAATTTTATAAAAACCAACAGAAGTACTGAGGTGAACCTTGGTGAACAAATCACAGCTGTCTTGCTAGTTACAAGCAATAGATGTGTGCCAAGACTTTTTTTCAGTGCCCTACAGACAATAAGATGGCTTTTCAAGAGTGTTTCTCTCCTAAGTAAAGATACTGAGGTGCTGAAAATTTTAGCCAGTCTGAACCAAATGCAGTCCTAGGTGGTTGTATAACTAATAAAAATAAATAGTATTCCTGAATTCTTCTCCCTTAAAAATCATATAACTTTTAGGGTGCCTGGGTGGCTCAGTCATTTAGCATCTCCCTTCAGCTCGGGTCATGATCCTGGGGCCCTGGAGTCCTGGGATCAAGTCCCGCATCATGTTCCCTGCTCAATGGGGGGCCTACTTCTCCCTCTCCCTCTCCCCTGCTTGTGTTCTGTTGTATCTGTCAAATAAATACATAAAATCTAAAAAAAAAAAAAAAACTTTTATAATGGTATTCATTTTTATAATAATAATTATATTTTTATATAAATAGGAATCAGGACTTGTAAGACTGTATTTAGCTAGTTTCAAAGGGCTCAGAGTCTAGACTGTACTATAACATCTTCACCTTTTGATGAAGATAGTGAACTGGCCCATAAGATGACGTATTAAATAAGACTTTATTAAATCATTCCTACATATTCTTATTTGAGTTCTACAGCACGCTCTGTAAACCAAAAATCTCAGAATCTTATATCTTCTATCACAAAGATACACATCTCATGATATATGTGGATGGCATGGAGCTCCTGCGAGTCTTCCTTTTAGAAAGTCGTTAATGTAGAAGTTCCATCTTTTCTATCCCCAAAGATGTGAAATCCTGATAGAGATGAAATAAGCAGCCCTCAGAAACACTACACAAAGCTGGAAGAGTCTATCCACAGCAATCTTCTAGAGTCAGTCCAGAAGTCCCTGCGATTCTACGGATACTATCCCAGGACCATGAGCAGCAGGGAACAAGAGAAGAGACCGCCATAAGGCAACTATTTTATGGCATCCAGTGACAATCAGGACTCTTGGATTTATTAGCTTTTATGACATGAGAGGAAAATAAATCCATGTTCTGGGGCATCCTTCCATGCCCCCTTTGCCATCCCTTTTTAATGTAGTGAATAAATGGCAAGACTTGGAGCTCTCAGCTCAAGGGGACAAGAACAGATCAGATCCCATCTGCTCTTACTGACATGGAAAGACCACTTGCCTCACTTCTCTTACCTTTAGCACTTGGTATGCCTCCTGTAGCACAGCTTGCTTATTAGGTACAAGGTTAATGACACAATTTGATCTTTAAAAACAAAACAAAACAAAAAAAACAACCAGATGGAATGTCAGGCAAATTCACACACCATTCAGAGTGCCTCAAATCCTTTCGTCCCTAAAGATGTCTTCCATCATTTCCCAAAGCTACACCATTCTTCCTGCCTCCCTCCTCTCTTCCCCACACTCCACTTTTTCCCAAGAAAAAGGAGATGGACGGAGTGTAAAATCGCGGTAAATTGTTAGCCAATTTGTGTGGGCAGGGAAAAAAAAGTCAGGCACACTCCCGATTTGTGTCTGCACTGATGGTCACCACACAACGGCGCGAAGGCTGGTCCCAGATGCCTCCTGCACCACGTATGTCTTAGGCCACAAGTAAATTGGCGAAATTCGTCCAAAGCAGCTTCATTAAGGCTGTCACCCAGGCATGATCTGACAACAACTCAAAGGAAAGGGAGGAACACAGACTCCTACACTTTGCTGCGACAATAATACTGGAGATAACAGGTTGGTGTGTGTTGTATGAGTAGACTCAGTGGTCCTGCTGTTGTTCTTTTGGACTCATCTGTTCACAGTGAAGTTTATAATCATTTCTCTCCTGGGCTACTGTGTTCTGAGACCAGTGGGCTACAAGGGCCTGAGAGCAGCTCCCCTCCCTTTATTAAGGCAGGCTTAACACCTAAGTGAGAGTCAGTTCAGCAAAGAGTGGTGACATTTGTGTTCAACAGGAAATGGGCTATATTCACAAAAATAAGGGTATAGACCTACATAACAATATCATAACTCTCATTCTTGATTCCAGTCTCCTCCAAATTCTCTAAGTAGCCATGAAGAAAAGTCACATTGGGTGTCTGGAAGCCGTATTTTTCCATGTGATATTCAATATACTTCTTAGCCACTTCTACCTAAAAAAAAACAAAAAAATAAAAACATATATAAATATATATATATGAATTTGATAATCATTTTTTAAATATGCTACTTCTTTACCAAAACTTTCCTATTACAAATGGAATATTCGTAATATATTTTTGGAAAAGTATACAAGGTTCCTCTGGGCACGTAGGATAAATTACAGTCTGAGACAACTCAATGAGAAATAAAGTCCCTGCTCAATACCTGGGTTTTTGTTTAGTTTTATTCTGTTTTGTTGTAATTAAGTAGGCTCCACACCCAATGTGGGGCTTGAACTCCTGACCCAGAGAGCAAGAGTCACATGTTCTATTGCCTGAGCTTGCCAGGTGCCCCTAGATACATGGATCTTGCTTGAGTAAACTCTTCACTCAATAACAAAATCCTTCAAGACAGATGGCAGAGAAGTAAAGGAAAAACCAGACTCCTTGGAGTCATCATGATATTCACATATGAGGTCAAACCTCTGACTCTGTTCTCCCAGAAGAGCCCCTAACTGTCAAAGTTCTCAGCCTTCAGGGCGGGAAGCACTAGTGGCACCAATGAGCTCTGCATTCAGCAGCCTTCTTAGATTACCCTTGAAGAGTCACAAAGGAAACAACTTTATCTATAAAAGAATGCCTTTGAGAAGTTTTTCCTCCTTGTGGTCCAGATCACTGCCTCACCTGACTTTCCGTCATGTCTATCCCAGTGACATGTCCTGTCTCACCAACCAGCTGACTCAGGACATAGCAATCTCTCCCACTTCCACTGCCCAGGTCCAAAATCCAGCAGTTCTCCAGACACTCAGGGATGACCAGACCACAGCCATAATACCTGGGAAACAGAAAACACAGCCATGTACACATATTTTCCCCCTAGAGACTAGAATATGTAGAATCACTAAATCTTACAAATCCTTCCTTCCTACCTCTCTCCTTCTTTTCTGGCCCTCCTTGCTTCCATCATTCACTGGATTTCTATTTAGGTGTTTCTTTTCCCCCACTAACCTGGAAGCTCCATGAAAACTGGGACTCTGGAGGCGCCTGGGTGTCTCAGTGGGTTAAAGCCTCTACGTTCAGCTCAGGTCATGATCCCAGCCAGGGTCCTGGGATTGAGCCCTGCATTGGGCTCTCTGCTCAGCAGGGAGCCTGCTTCCTCCTCTCTCTCTGCCTGCCTCTCTGCCTACTTGTGATCTCTGAGTGTCAAATAAATAAATAAAATCTTTAAAAAAAAAAAGAAAACTGGGACTCTGCTTTGCTTATCATTGTCACCATTGTTGGACACTGTAGCAGGTACTAAGACAAACAAGCCATTTACAATATTTGTTGAATAAACAGTTAGTGAGGCATTATAGCTGAACACCTACTACAGGTCCAGAACTGTGCTAGTTACTGGAGAAGAAATGTGACACAAGATTTCTATTCCCTGGGGGTATTTAACTGGGGAGGTAAAGCATGAGCACAGAAAACATTTCCCATGATCTACTGCACAGGCAGTAGGTGCTATAGTAGTTTAGGGAAGAGGGTGCTCAAGGATGGAGAAGGCTTCACATTGTAGGTAGGACATCAGTGATGTGTTGGAAGGGCAGGAGTTGGAAGGTAGAAAGGAGAGGGAAGGCATTCCAGATCAGTAACTGCACGTGAGGCAGGAGGGAGGGAAAGGTTTGGCTAGAGTAGTGTAGTGCATTGGAGGTAGCTGGGGTTGGTTAGGAAGTGGGGGCCAGATTGCACAGCCTTGAATGTCAAGTCCAAAGTGTATGAATGTATCCGGAGTAAAGGGGGATGGGGTGGGAAGGGAGGTCATTGGAAGTTTTTTTTTTTTTTTTTTAAGATTTTATTTATTTATTTGACAGACAAAGACCACAGTAGGCAGAGAGGCAAGCAGAGAGAGAGGAAGGGAAGCAGGCTCCCTGCTGAGCAGAGAACTCGACCCGGGGCTCGATCCCAGGACCCTGGGATCACAACCCGAGCCGAAGGCAGAGGCTTTAACCCACTGAGCCACCCAGGCGCCCTCATTGGAAGTTTTTAAACAGAGCTATAAGATGATCCGTGCTGTCCTTTACCAGTTTTTTTCTTAAGATTATTTATTTACTTGTCAGAGAGAGACGGAGAGAAAGAATACAAGAAGGGAGAGCGGCAGGCAGAGGGAGAAGCAGGTTCCCTGATGAGCAAGGAGTCCAATATGGGACTGGATCCCAGGACCTTCAGATCATGACCTAAGCCGCAGGCAGACGCTTAGCCAACTGAGTCAACCAGGTATCCCATTTGCTTTTCCAGTTTTATGATAGGCAAGGCAAACTAGATGGATTGGAGAAGATGGGTTAATTCCCTAGTGACTGCATCACTATCTTTTGAAAACCTGCCGTTGAGAGTCTCCAGGATGGGGGGCTGGGGGAGCAGCACAGGGCACTTTACCTCGAGGATACTTCTTCATGTACATTCCTCAAGGCTTCCCGGATATGCTTGGGGACCAGCCTGGCTGCAGTGACACAGGCACTGGTCTGGAGGTCTGCTGATTTCTTCAGCACCTGCCCATAGTAGGTCTGACCAGAGGCCAAGGGAGGGTAGGGGTAGGGAGAGAGAAGAGCTAGAACTGTTATCCACAGGCGAAATCTCCCATAACCACCAGCACCCCACCCCCACCCATCCAGGCCTGGCTAGGCTTTCCTCCTGCAAAGCTCTAAGCCCAGACTTTGCCCTGCACACCCCTCCCGTCTCCTCCTTGATCCTGTGGGGCAAAGGCCCAAGCCGGCTGGGCTTCCAAAGGCCTAGTGCTCCCACTCAATGGAGGCTCCTCCGTGGCCATTCCAGGCCCTTCTGCTGACACCTGCACAGCCTTCCGGATCTCAGCTTCGCGGGGGGCAGCCACTGCCAGGAGGAGAAAAAAGGAAGCTGAAAGGTGAAGGTGCTGAGCACCTTCCCACCTTGCAGGGGAAAAGTATAGGGCTGGTTACAAGGCAGGCTGGGAGCGCTAGTGGTGGTGATTGGCAGGGGTGGTGACTGCAGGGTCACCACCTGCCTAGAGGGTCCCCCGCCCCCCACCGCCCCTCTGCCCCTGCGCCCCATCCCCCCCCCCCCCCCTCCCCCCCCCCCGCCCCACCCTCTCTACCTCCTCCCCCCAATCCCTCCCCCGCCCCCTCCGCACTGGGAGTCCGGCAGGAGGCGGCAGGAGGCGAGGGGCAGCGTACTCACTGTCTCCTTGGCCTCTGGACGCCATGACTTGCGGGCTCCCACATCCAGTTCCGCAGGCCGCGAACTCCCGAGGCCCCGCCCCGGGACGGGCAGGTCTGATCTCCTGAGGGGCGGGCTTCCCAAGCCTGTACCAGGTGGTGCCAGCCGGCCTCACCCCACCCCTCCGCCCGCCAGGTCGCGGGTTGCGGGAACCCGCCACCGCTTCCAGGAGATTCCAAGGCAGTCTGATCATCTGCCCTCACGTGGCGCTCTGGCCCCGCTGGGCCCAGTGTCATCTCGGCTGTCTTGAGTCTTTTCAACCAGGAAGAGGCTATTAACTATTCGTTAGTATCTTTGTTTACTGCTCCACAGTGGTTTTCATTTTATGAACCTCCTATTTGGACTTAAATGAACACCCATATGATTTTGGTCCCTTTGGGGAATGAAATTACCTTTTCTTAATGTATTTTTTTTTTATTGCAGTCTAGTTGACATACAATGTTACATAAGTCTCAGGTGTACAACAGAGTGATCCCACAGGGCCATACATTACACGATGCTCACAACCATAGCTCCATCTGCCGCGTCACTACCTTACTATGTTCCCTGTGCTGTCCTTTTCATCCCCGGGACTAACTCATTTTACAGAAGTCCGAACCTCTTAATCCCCTTCACCACCTTTGCCATCTCTGCCCCTGCAACCACCAGCTTGTATTTATTAGTCTGTTTTTTCAGGTCCCGCACGTAAGTAAATTATATGGCATTTGTCTTTCTCTGCCTGACTTATTTCACTTGGCATAATACCCCCTGGGGGGTCCATCATGTTGTCCCAAATAGCAAGCGCTCATTCTTTTCTATGGCTGTGTGATATTCTCTTATATAAATATGGAATTGTATATTGTGTGTGCGTGTATACACACATACCACATCACCCCTTTATCCATTTTTTTTTTAAGATTTTATTTATTTATTTGACAGAGACAGAGAGAGGGAACACAAGCAGGGGGAGCAGGAGAGGGGGAAGCAGGCTTCCCGTTGAGCAGGAAACCCAATGCGGGACTCAATCCCAGGACCCTGCAATAGTGACCTAAGTCAAAGGCAGCTGCTTAACGACTGAGCCACCCAGGCGCCCTTCTTTATCCATTTCCAGGGATGGACACAGGTTGCTTCCATATCTTGGCTACTGTAAATAATACTGCAATAAACATAGGGATGCATGTATCTTTTCAAATTAGTTTTCATTTGGGGGGGGGTGGTGGTAAATAGCCAGCAAAGGAATTACTAGATCATATGGTATTTCTATTTTTAATTTTCTCAGGAACCCCCATACCATTCTCCACAGTGACTGTACCAGTTTGCATTCACACCAACAGGGGGAGGGTTTCCTTTTCTCCACATCCTTACCAACACTTGTTATTTCTTGTCCTTTTGAGTTTAGTCATTCTGACTGTGTGAGGTGGTAGCTAATTGTGGTTTTGATTCGCATTTCCATGATGCTGAGTGGTCGTGGGCATCTTTTCATGTGTCTGTTGGCCGTCTGGATGTCTTCTTTGGAGAAATGTCTGTTCAGGTCCTCTGCCCATTTTTTACATAGATTATTTATTCTCAATGTATTTTTAAAGTCATATTAATTGAGATATAATTTATATTCAGGAAAACTCAACTTTCTCTAGCATGCAGTTCTGTGAATTCTGACAAACGTATACATGACAGTCAGGACTCTCTCGTGGTGACGTTTCTTTGCGCCCCTTTGTAGTAAGTCCCCCTCCCCTCCCCCACCAGCTCCTAAGCAACCACAGATCTATTCTCCCTCCTTATCCAGAATGCCATGGAATCATACTGTATGCATGCAGCAGTTCTCAGTCTGTTTTGAATTTTATTTAGGAAAGCAACATTGATAAATTCATTTTTTTTTAAAGATTTTATTTATTTATTTGACAGAGAGAGATCACAAGTAGACAGAGAGGCAGGCAGAGAGAGAGAGAGAGAGGGAAGCAGGCTCCCTGCTGAGCAGAGAGCCCGATGCGGGACTCGATCCCAGGACCCTGAGATCATGACCTGAGCCGAAGGCAGCGGCTTAACCCACTGAGCCACCCAGGCGCCCCGATAAATTCATTTTTAACCTCTGGTAATTTCTAGTCAATTCACTTGTGTTTCCTAAGTATTGTCATTTCATCCTTCAGAAAAATTTTTTCTTCTACCCCTATATTGAAAAACATGGGTTTGAACTGCATGGTCCACTTCTGTGTAGATTTTTTTTGCAAGTACAGTACTGTAAATATATTTTCTTTTTTTTACGATTTTATTTATTCATGAGGGACAGAAAGAGAGAGAGGCAGAGGGAGAAGCAGGCTCCCCACGGAGTAGGGAGCCTAATGCGGGACTCGATCCCAGGACCCCAAAACCATGACCTGAACCGAAGGCAGACGCCTAACCATCTGAACCACCCAGGCACCCTGTAAATATATTTTCTTTCCCTTACAATTTTCTTAATGACATTTTTTCCCTCTAGCTTACTTTGTTATAAATTCAATATATAATACATATAACATGTAAAATATGTATTAAATGACTGTTTATATTATTGATAAGGCTTCCACCCAATAGTAGGCTATTAGTAGTTAAGTTCTGGGGGAGTCAAAAGTTATACACTGATTTTCAACTGTGAAGGTGTCAGTACCCTGCCCCCCCCGTGTCGTACAAGGGTTCATTGTATTTTTCTATCTTATTTACTTCTGTGCTTGTAATAAGCATTCCTATTCATTAAGGTAATAAGAAAATACAGAGATCTAAATGGGGCATTTACTATGTTACACTCATTTTTCTTTTCTTTTTTTTTTTAAAGATTTTATTTATTTATCTGACAGAGAGAAAGATCACAAGTAGGCAGAGAGAGAGGGGGAAGCAGGCTCCCCGCTGAGCAGAGAGCCCGATGCGGGGCTTGATCCCAGAACCCTGAGATCATGACCTGAGCCCAAGGCAGAGGCTTAACCCAGTGGGCCACCCAGGAGCCCCTACACTCATTTTTCAATCTCATCTGCTAATAACAATCTTCTCTGATGTCAATTGATGATTAAATATTAATACAAAGGTGTTATATTTTAATATTTTTAACAAATTAAACCCATGAAAACAATCCTTGTTGGAATATTTTTATAGCTTAGAATATTTCCTACTATTAAGTAGATAAAAATGTGTTTCTATAATGATCAGTTTTTTAGCAATTGTATAATGGCAAAAACAAATATTAGTTTTCAAAATACCATCTCCATAAAATTAGTTCCCTTAGGAAAGCAGTCACTTTCTCACTCATTGTTAAAATGTTATGTTTATCTTGAAGGCACAGATTAATGGGGGTTAGGGAAAGGGCTTCACTGTTTTCCCCTTGTTCGCTCTACTTGCTTTAATACATTATCTTCGATTTGTATTCACAAGAATCATTTGATAAACCTAAAATCCACATAACCACATATGGATAAACCATAATAAAGCAAACCACCATCAACTTTAATCGAATGATTCCAAGTTTTCCATCAGGTATCTAGTGTATAGTGCTGATTCTGGGACAGATTGCTTGTAGCCATCATTCATTCTGATTGGTCAGTGTACCAGCCACAGGTGTTTTTGTTTTTAAGATCACCAAAGCTGAACGACAGGCTGTGTAAATCAGTATGCTATGGAGACCACATTAGAGCCCTCATACCAAGTCATATTTTAAATATTAGCAAAAGCTAAGTTTCTTAAGATGAAAAATAAACGTACATAGACATTTTCATTATTTTCTTCCCTTACCTCCAAGGATGGCCTCGTGCATACCTCCACATATCCTGCCTTGGAAGCTACGGGTCTGACCATTACAGAATGGTCCAGAAAGGCAGGTTTGGTTCAGTACCCAGACTGTCTCTAAAGAAGATAAAGCTTTCCAAAATGGCCAGCATCCCTAAGTAAAGTATTCCCCCACTGGAAGCATTCAAGAGGGGCCAGATGAGCAGCTGGAGGCTCACTTGCTAGAGACGCAGTGGCAGGGAAACACACTGGATTCAGTTACCTCCAAGATCCTTTCTTCTGTATTGTGGTAAATACTAAGAAGGACAAGTAGCACCCATGTTTCTATTTGTAAGGAAAGTAACAGATGATAAAGAGCTAGACTAGTACTCAAAAAACCTATCACCAAACTCGGTAACTTTGGGTAAGTCATGTCATGTCCCTGGCTATGTTTTCTCATCTGCAAAACATGGGGTCAGAATTCAGTCACTTTTGAGGCCTGATACAGAGCTAAGATTCTGGGATTCTATGATTCTTTTTCCTTCACCAAATATTCAATATTCACTATATGTTGGTTCTTTAGAAAGAAGATTTTCTTTTTTTGTTTGTTTTGTTTTAATTAGAAATAGAAGTCAAGGGGCGCCTGGGTGGTTCTGTGGGTTAAAGCCTCTGCCTTCAGCTCAGGTCATGATCCCAGGGTCCTGGGATTGAGCCCCGCATCAGGCTCTCTGCTCAGCAGGGAGCCTGCTTCCCCCCCAACACCCTCTGCCTGCCTCTCTGCCTACTTGTGATCTCTGTCTGTCAAATAAATAAATAAATAATCTTAAAAAAATTAAAAAATTAAAAATAAAAATAAAATGGGGCACCTGGGTGGTTCAGTTGGCTGAACATCTGCTTTTGGCACAGGTAATGATCTCGGGGTCCTGGGATTGAGCCCCGCATCCTGCTCCCCGCTCATAGTCTGCTTCTCCCTCTGCCCCTCCCTACAACTCATGCACACACGCACTCGTGCACTCTCTTTCTCTCAAATGAATAAATAAAATCTTAAAAAAAAAAATGAAAGCCATAGGTGCACCTTGCTGGCCCAGTTGGTAGAACATGCGACCCTTAACATCAGGGCTGTAAGTTCCAGCCCCATGTTGAGTGCAGTGATTACTTAAAAATAAAAACTTTAAATAAATAAAAATAAAAATGAAAGTCATATTTACTTCAGCAAATGAACTGGGTATCTTACTCTTGTTTTCTATACTTCAGGAGTATATGGAAGTGCTTTGATAGTTTGGAAAATTCTCAGGAAAGTTATTACAGGCAAAAGACTTTTTTTTTTTTTTTTTAATAAGCTCTAGGCCCAATATGGGGCTCAAACTCACAATCCCAAGATCAAGAGTCACATGCTTTTCTGACTGAGCCAGCCAGGATCCCCTGGACATAATCTCTTTTAAATGGCAGTTCTGTAATATTATATCTTCAAAGATGCTGGATATTTTGACACTAGTAATCAAATCTTTAGAATCAAGCTGACAGGTCATGCTTTTAAAATCTAATTGATTTATTTTATTTATCTCCATTTCAATTATAAATTTACTGATTGGTACTTTCAGATTGAGCTGATACTTTACCAATTTAATTTTTTTTTTAAAGATTTTATTTTTAAGTAATCTTCACACCCAATTTGGGGCTTGAATTTACAACACCAAGATCACGAGTCCCATGCTTCACTGACTGAGCCAGTCAGGTGTCCCAATACTTTACCAATTTAATCTATAAGAACCAATTAATGTGAGGTGCCTGAGTGGTTCAGTTGGTTAAGCATCCACTGTCACTCAGGTCATGAACCCAGGGTCCTGGGATCGAGCCCCACTTCAGGAGCCCGCTTCTCCCTCTCCCTCTGCCTGCTGCCCTATCTCTTTGTTTTCTCTCTCTCTCTCTGTCAAATAAATAAAATCTTAAAAAAAAAAAGAACAAATTATGATATCATATATTTTTTCAAATTTTTATCATTCATTCTTGGTTTTCTTATTCTATTTTGATTTAAGTTCTAACCACAAACACCTTAAATAAGAAAACATTTCACCCTTTTCCTTAATATAGAGATTTAAAGCATGATTTTTCTTTTCCTTAGAGTACGCTTAGGTATTATCACATTAATTTTCTTGCATAGAATTTGAAATTTCATTATTTTAAAAATACTGGCCTTCAACATATCCTCTACAACCCAGATGTTATTTAAAGAAGTATTTTTGTTTCTACATGTTTGATCGCCATTTAATTCTACCTAACCCATTTGTTTCTGTAACAGATATAGAATCAAATTATGTATAAATTTCTGAATACTCATACATTTCTGACTATTCTTCTTCCACGTATTTTGGCATTATGTTCCTTAAAATGACTAAATTCAGTACTACTAGGTTTTTATTATTTAATGTAAATTTGATATTTACCATTAAAATTTTGAGGGTGAAATTTATGAGGTATAATGTACGCAGTCACTGCTACTTTACTATTTGTTTTACCATGATGAGGGAAACTTAGACCATACCTTCATTTTAATTTTTAATATTTTACAAATGTCGTGTTAGGTATTTCTTTGCATCTTGTATACTTGGATAATTGAACTTTGTTTTGTTTTCTAAATTGATGACCCTTAAAAAAAAAAAAAAATCAGTCCTTGGATTTCCTAAGCAGATAATCCTAACACATGATAATAATTTTGTCTCTTTGTTGCTAATAGCTTTTTTTTTTTAGATATTTATTTATTCATTCATTCATTCATTCATTCATTTGACAGAGAGAGAGTACAAGCAAGGGGAGTGGCAGACAGAGGGAGAGGGAGAAACAGCCTCCCCACTGAGCAGGGAGCCCAACTCGGGGCTCGATTCCAGGACCCTGGGATCATGACCTGTGCCAAAGGCAGACACTTAACTGACTGAGCCACCCAGGCACCCCATTAGCTATACTTACTTTTAACTTCTGCACTAGACATGGTCTCCATCAAAACGCTGAGTAGCAACAGTGAATGTAACATCCACTAATAATGCTTCAAATATTTTACTCTTAACGTGACATTTGCTGCCAATTTGTGACCCTTCTTTTTGAAGGTGAATTGAACCCATTTACATTTAGTAACTGTAATGAGAGTTTATGAAATGAATGCATAACTGTACCTATTTTTTTCTTTTGCTGTAAGTTGATGTGTACAGGTATAATGAGGGATAAATACAATCTAATATGATTAGTCGACTTGATGATATACAGTATGAATTAAATTGGACTCTTCCTTGCCTTTTTTCTTTCCCTGAAAACACCATTTTCTTATGTCAGCTTTCTCCTAATTCTTTTTTTTTTTTTAAAGATTTTATTTATTTATTTGACAGAGAGATCACAAGTAGGGAGAGAGGCAGGCAGAGAGAGAGGAGGAAGCAGGCTCCCTGCCGAGCAGAGAGCCTGATGCGGGGCTCGATCCCAGGACTCTGAGATCATGACCTGAGCCGAAGGCAGCGGCTTAACCCACTGAGCCACCCAGGCGCCCCTCTCCTAATTCTTTAGTGAAGTAAGAAATGAACTAGAACACAATGGAGTCCCACTTAAAATTCAAACAAAGACATTCAAAGGTCATGCCTTTTAGCAAGCAGAATTAGATGAACATGGGCAAATAACTGAAAACATAAGGTTTTCACCATGGCACAACCCTACACTGCAATCATTCCCAGTAATTCAACTGCCTTTGCACTTGGCAATAATGTTCTACAAGTCAATCTGCTGATGACTAGCAAAATTACAAAATGAACCCAAGGCCAACTAATCAAGACTCACAACAAAGAAACTAGGAGTGCAGGTCAAGGCAGGGGGTCACAGCTGGCCAGATATACCATTTGCCTACTTTTCATTTAAGAATTGCTACAATGGGGACGCCTGGGTGGCTCAGTTGGTTGGACGACTGCCTTCGGCTCAGGTCGTGATACCGGAATCCCGGGATCGAGTCCCGCATCAGGCTCCCGGCTCCGCGGGGAGTCTGCTTCTCTCTCTGACCTTCTCCTCGCTCATGATCTCTCTCACTGTCTCTCTCTCAAATAAATAAATAGAATCTTTAAAAAAAAAAAAAAAAAGAATTGCTACAATGAATAAAATAAATTTCTCCTCCGAGTTAATAGAAAAGAACAGATACTACCTATCACCATTCCACCACCATGAAATTTCCTGAATGTATGATTAAAAGAAAAAAAAGTCTTTAAAAACAATATTAAGCATTCCTGTTTTCACAACAGAAGCCGTATTTCTGAATTTAAAACATCATTCAGCATTTGCTTAAGAATCACATTTTAAAAAAAGAATCACATTTAGATGATATAGCTTTTGACATATAAAAGTTCTATGGGAAAAACCAAGACCTCTTTAATTTTGCTTTAACATCAAACTAAAAAGAGCAATTAAAAACTTCAGTAAGAGTATGACTTAGCCTCAAGAAGTACTTCCAAAATTCAACCACCTAGCTTCTCTTCAGAAGAAACTATACACCATCATAAATCTTTTCTAACTTAACTTTTGGAGAAGAAAATGGAAAATCAAACCCATAGGACAGCAGTTGAGTAAAATATTTCCTTCTCAGTGTCTGGCAAAGAAGTGCTTTTCCCTCTTGCAAGCTGTTCTATTTCAACAGATGATTCAACTGGTCCTGTAGGTCAGAAGACTGCTCGACACTAGAAATCAGAACAGAGAAAAAGTTTATCTGGAATGAGCAATAAAGACCTCTCTTTGTACAATTTGTACTTTAATGCATAAACACTGCTGAAGCTAAATCCAAATTTATATTGATCCACTACAGTTCCAGAAGTTTAAACTATGGGGGAAAAAAAGGTCTGTAAAGCCAATTAGTGTAACCAGTATTGTAAGGGACCAAGACTGCTTATGACCTCAGCACACTTAATTAACGAATGTTACCAAATAGAAGGTTTTCTATTCCTTAAGTTTGGCATCTACACGCTATAATTTGCAGAAAGCCTTTACCAGCAGTGAATTAACTTACTGCCTGCCTTTGAAACAGACAGTTGACCCTTGTACAATATGGAGGTAAAAGGCATTGACACCCCACACAGTCAAAATCTGTGTATACCCGGCCCCCCCAAAACTAGACTACTAGCCTACTATTGGCCAGAAGCCTTACTAATAACAGAAACAGTCAGTTCACACAAATTTTATAAGGTTATATGTATTATATACTACACTCTTGTAATAAACTAAGCTAGAGGAAAAAGATGTTATTAAGAAAGTCATAAGGGGGGGGGTGCCTGGGGGGGCTCAATCATTAAGCAACGGCCTTCTGCACGGGTCATGATCCCAGGTTCCTGGGATCTATGCCCGCATCTGGCTCCCTGCTCAGCAGGAGGCCTGCTGTCCCTCTCCCACTCCCCCTGCTTGTGTTCCTGTTGCTGCTGTCTCTCTCTCTATCAAATAAATAAATAAAATCTTTAAAAAAAAAAAAAAGAAAAGAAAATCATAAGGAAGAGAAAATACATTTGCAATACTATACCGTATATATATTTTAAAAAATCTGTGTATAAGTGGAACTGTGTAGTTCAAAGTTGTACTGTTCAAGGGTCAACTGGACTGTTTTCTCTATATCCCAAATGAGCTACCCCAGAGTGTGCGTCAATTTAAGGGCGTACGTCAGCTAGACTTTCACATTGATCCTGGGCCCAGAAGTTGAATTCCCTATAGCCTGCTTCCCTTGGTCCCTCCACTCCCCTACCTTTGGGGCTACTTACTTCTTCTGAATAGCTTCTTGCCTGAATCAGAAAGGGAAAGAGGAAAAGAAAGATTAAAAAAATCTCAGAAAATCAGTGCAACTTATGGCTAGATATTTGTAGGCAGAACAAATTTCTGGCTCATGTCACATTCTGTAATTCTGTCCCTTCCGGCTTAAGATTGTGCTCTTGAAGCCCTGTTCACTCTCTGAGTGCAGCGTTGCTAAGAAGATGGATTCTAAGCCCAAAGAGCTAACGACACTCTACCAGACTGAGGGAGGAGGTACCACAAACTACACACACGGCTCACATTCGGCCCGGGTATGTGGAATCTAATGGGTCACATACCTGACATGCACACACCCCAAGAAACTGTTTAAAGATCAAGAGTTAAATTCTCAATCGTACATTTCCAATAGGTACATAAGTCATACCAACTATATAAAATATAAAGCAAAATGAAATAGGATGAAAAGCTCATTATTATTTTATGCAAAATTATAACAGAGAAAGGGCTGTCTGTATTTTGTCCTGGATCATTTCTACACAGCTAGGGCTGGGTTAAATGGGGGGGACTAGACCATACCGGTCAGTTACACTCGATTCCTCAGTGAAAGCGCAGACTCCCCAGGAGAGACCTTGGGCACGGGTCGTCAACAAATTCTGATTAACTGTCTACTGGGTGCCGAGCACTGTGCGAGCATGGTCCTGGCACAGGCCCTGCCCTCCTGGGGTTCAAAGTCTCTCCCTCCGAGGAGCCCCCAAATGACCACAAAGAGGCTTGCAAAAGGCAGTCCCTGCTCTTGATCTCGCCCATATTCCAGCTTCTTCTGCAGTCGCCGCCATCTTTTCCAGAAGGAGCTCATTCCTGACTAACCCCACCTTCACTCCCCCCTCCTGCCTTCTCAGGAAAGTGTGCGGAAGCCCAAAGGCAAGAGAGGGCAGCATGCAGAATGTGACCACCCAGCATCTCGGAAGGCATACTCACTGGTATTGAAGGTGTGTTGTTATTATCGCCATTTTCCTTAAACTCTGCATTAAAACAAAACAAAATAAAACAGAAACAAAGAGAATATTCCACTTCCCTGTAACCACACCAGTTATGTAAATAAAACCCAAATCACAAAAGAAATTGTTTCTTACATCTTCCGAGTGCAAGATGGCATCTTCCTGCAGGACCATGTTTCGAGCTGCCTGACCGAGCAGCTGAAAGACAAAAATAAAGGGTCGTGATCAAAATCTGCAAACTTCCTGTAATCTTCTCTCCACAGCTGTTAAACCATCACCCTCTCTCCTCCCCACCCCACCCCCACCCCGTACAACTGCAAATGCTTCAAAAGTAACAGAGGATAATCTATTTGTTTAGGTTGAAAATCCACATTCAGTGTCACTCTGGAAGTTCTGGCAGGGGCTCAGCGTCAGCTCCAAAGGCTACTATTTGAGAAACCCAGGGCTCGGTGTCTGTGGAATTAGGAGGCAAGAGGAGATTGACAAGAGGTTTCTGGTCTGCGATCACACCCTGCTCCTGGCAGACAGACGTGAAGTCCCACCATGGAAGGGGAAGTTACTGTGTGCCCCACTCACTGTCCCTGTTCCCTTGGGTCAGAGAGATTCAGATGAAAAGGGGACCGATGACCACAGATTCACCAGGAATGGCAGCCCTCCTACAGCCCCCAGATAAACTCCCCTGTGGCACCTGTTATTTATTTCTTTTCGTTTTTAAGTTTAAAAATTAATAAACCTTTGCGTGCTTCTAATGTTGAAATGGTAAAATAAGACCTTCCATCCCTGTCCCTTCCCTTCCCCCCTTCTCTCTCCCCTCTGCATAAATATTTTTTGGGGGTGCCTGGTTGGCTCAGGTGGGAGAGCAGGTGACTCTTGATCTCAGGGTTGTGAGTTCAAGCCCCATGCTGGGCATGGAGCCTACTTAATTTTAAAAATAAATAAGTAAATAAATTTATCTCTCCATGTTGTCTTTTTAAAAGTGGCCATACGTCTATCATCGGACTATCCCCTTCTGTAAAATGTAACCTACTACCTGCACTCTTCCACATGCTGCTATTTTCACTTGACAAGAGATGCTGAAATCGATCAGCAGTGATTTATGCTGACTCTGTGCACTGTTCTCTTATGACTGCAGAGCACTGGCTGTATAGAGGTCCCTGTAAGACTGTTCATCCAGTCATCTGCTCTAGACTTTGGGGCTATTTGCAGCCTTTGCTATTATAAGTAGTGCTACAAAAAATACTTTATATATCTTTGTGTCTTTTTGCTAACGTATCCTTGGGATAGACTCATGGAATTATGACTACGATTGCTGGATGAGAGAGTTTTACTGGGGTTATACCATTTCACATTCCCATCCACAATGTATCAGAGTGCCTGTTCCCCGCTTGTGGCCAATTTTTTTTTTAAGATTTTATTTATTTATTTGACATAGAGAGATCACAAGTAGGCAGAGGCAGGCAGAGCGGGAGGAGGAAGCAGGATCCCCGCAAAGCAGAGCGCCCGATGTGGGGCTCAATCCCAGGACTCTGAGATCATGACCTGAGCCAAAGGCAGAGACTTAATGCACTGAGCCACCCAGGCGCCCTTTGTGGCCACTTTTAAGTGACAAACTCCAAAGTCCTACAGGAGGGAGATGGTGACTGACAAACTGAGGGCAGAAGGAAAATGTTCTAACAGAATCTTCCTCATTCATTCAGTCAGTCAACAAATATTTATTCAGTGCTCACGGTACACCAGGAAGAGACATAGCCCTTATCCTCACAGGGCTCACAACGTGGTGTGACAAAGAGGACACAGGCGCTCCAGTACCTTGTGGTAACTGCTAATGGGGAAGTACCAGCCGACCAGGCAGCATGGGGAGTCAGGTGTCTGACCTGTTACAGGGGCAGGTGTTCAGGTAGGGCCTCCGAAAAGAAGTGACGTCTAAGTGGAGACCTAAAGGTTGGGCATGATTGGATTTACTGTTTTAGAAGCGTGGCAAGCAGACTAGACTGAAGCGGGGACTGAAGACAGAGAAACTGGCTGGGAGAACACTGACATAGTCTAGGCAAGCAATGAAAGTGGCCTGAGCCACCAGAATGGCTGTTAAAAAGGGGGGTGGGGGTGGCTGATCATTTCGAAGATAGACTCAAGGAGACTCATGATTCCTGGAATGCAGGAGCTGTTGCAATGCTGGGCCAAGGCCCTTGCTTTGATGACACATGTATTCATTGGCAATCTGCATCATTTTCTTGCATAAACCAACCACACACAGCACGTATCATCTAAGATGTCTGGGCTGGGTTTACTTAAAGTGGAACAACAGCTTGAGTATTTCCCCCTAGGCTTTTACTATTGCTTTGCTCATAAGTAACTCAATAGCCATCTTTGATCCTCATATTCAACAAGTCCTATACTAAGGTGTTATTGGTTAGCTTCTCATCTTCAACAAGATTTTCCAACATGGTTTTCATAGCAATACCAACCCTTTTTGTTTTCATTCTAGTTCATCGTTTTCCATTATTAAATAATGTAGTTATTAATGTAGCATTAAATAATGTAGTTAAAATAGCAAGCACAAACACAGGCTTAAGATAGCACAATGGACCCTAAAAGAAAAAAAAAAAAACCCACATCCAACAGACCCTTTACTCAGCACACAACTCGACAGGAAGAACAGAGAAGCAGGCACGCACAGCAGGAGCATGGGGTCACACACATTCATTGTGCTGTGGGCACAAGGTTGACATGCTCTTCCCCACTTGGTGCTCCAGCCATACTGGCCTCCTTGCACACCTTGCACACATTCCCATCTCAAGGCCTTTGCATTTGCCATTTCTTCTACTTGGAGCACTCTGGCTCCAGACGTCCATGTGGCCAGCTCCCTTACTTCATTCAAGTGTCTGCCCCAACGTCCCCTCCTTACAGGGCCCTTCCCTGACCACCCTATTTAAGGAAAACCCTTTTATCACACTCTACTCCCAGCCTAGTTTTTCCTCCATGGGATTTACTACCCCTGATTTTTTGTTTCATTTGTTTGTCTGTCTCTTCACTAAAATGTAAACTTCCTAAGTATAGGGATCTTGTTTTATGTACCACCCTCTCCTTTATACCTAAAATAGTTCATAGCAGGGGCACCCACTGGGTGGCTCAGTGGGTTAAAGCCTCTGCCTTCAGCTCACTTCATGATCTCAGGGTCCTGGGATTGAGCCCCGCATCGGGCTCTCTGCTCAGCAGGGAGCCTGCTTCCTCCTCTCTCTCTCTCTCTCTGCTTGCCTCTCTGCCTATTTGTGATCTCTGTCTGTCAAATAAATAAACAAAATAAATAAACAAAATCAGGGGCACCTGGTGGCTCAGTGGGTTAAAGTCTCTCCCTTCGGCTCAGGTCATGATCTCAGGGTCCTGGGATCAAGCCCCACATCAGGCTCTCTGCTCAGCAGGGAGCCTGCTTCCCTCTCTCTCTCTCTCTGCCTGCCTCTCTGCCTACTTGTGATCTCTGTCTGTCAAATAAATAAATAAATAAATAAATAAATCTTTGAAAAAAAAATAGTTCATAGCACAGAGCGGACAATAAATGTTTATTAAATGAATGCCATAGAAAGAGAGCTTTACATATGGAAATTGCCAGCTAATCAAACAAAATAGCCACGTTGAAAAGAGAAGCAATGTTCTACAGGCAAAGAAGGATTCAAACTAAAAATCAGGCTCCATGTCCACAATGAGACCAAGAGCTCCCTTTCCCTCAGGACCAACCCCAGGGAGGTGTCCTGTGGCTTTGGGTCAATTTGGGTCACACCAATAACAAATCAAAAAGCTGGAGAAGAGGAAGCCTGAGTGTCTCAGTCAGTTAAGTGTCTGCTTTCGGCTCAGGTCATGATTCCAGGGTCCTGGGATCGAACCCCAGATTGAGTTCCCTGCTCAGTCGGGGAGCCTGCTTCTCCCTCTCCCTCTGCCCTTGTTTCTCTCTCTCTCCCTCTCTCTCAAATAAAAGTAAAACATAGAATTACCCTATGAATATGACCCAGCAATTGCAACTGCAATTCAGCAATTATCCAAAATAACTGGAAGCAGGGTCTCAAATAGGTATTTGTATACAAATGTTGACTGCAGCATATTCACAAAGCCAAAAGGTGGAAACAACACAAATGTCCATCACCAAACGAAGGGATAAACAAAATGTGGTACGTACAACGGAATATCATCCAGTCTTAAAAAGGAACAAAATACAGTACTGCTATATGCTACCAAAAAAAAAAAAAAAAAAAAAAGACAAAAAAAGAAAATCAGTAAGACATGCCAAATAATCTAAAGTCTAGTAAAGGAAATGACAAAAATACATAACTACAGAAAAAGGCAATACGGTATGTGATAAGTATCACGTAAGAGATCCAATTAAAAAACAAAAGTCAGAGAACTGAGAGATGATATGTCAACCCTCCCAGAAAGCTGGAATGATTTCAGTTTAACTCAATCCACACCATTTACCGGACACCCAGTCTAAATCTATTACAGAAGAATCTCATGGGAACAATACACAAGGAGGAACAGAAAGCAGCAAGTCACATTACGGCAGTCAATGGTGACACCATGGCTTTTGGGCCACTAAACCAGCTAGTATCACATGAGAGGTGGTGCCCAAGATTATGAGCCTAGAACCAGTCTGCCTAGGTTTGAATCCTAGTTCTACCCCTTCCTAGCTACGTTGTAACCTTGGACAAATTAAATTCCTCTTTGTATCCTCTATGTAAGAAATGTACCTCCTCTACTAGTGAGTGCAAAGATTTAACAAATTAAGCTACGTAAAACACAGCAGTGTCCTGAACATAGTAATTGTTCAATAAAAACAAGTTTATTATGGTGAATATGGATGTTCAATACACACTGGTCATTAACTATGAGCACTGTTTTTTAAAATTTATTTATTTATACCTTGTTTCTCTTCCAAAAAGACTGAAGCCAATTTATACCATATTATATGCATGTGTGTGCATACACGCACACACACATTTTTTAAAAAATAGAAATAGGGGCACCTGGGTGGCTCAGTGGGTTAAAGCCTCTGCCTTCGGCTTGGATCATGATCCCAGGGTCCTGGGATAGAGTCCTGCATGGGGCTCTCTGCTCAGCAGGAAGTCTGCTTCCTCCTCTCTCTCTCTGCCTGCCTCTCTGCCTACTTGTGATCTCTGTTAAATAAATAAGTAAAATCCTTAAAAAAAAAATAGAAAATAAAAAATAGAAACAGAATCTAAAAGTCATTAAAAGGAGATGTGTCTACCACTAAAACTGATGTAAGAACTTCTGTGCAACCAAGGCAAAAAATGAAACACTTGCATTTGCATAATTCCTTTTTTTTTTTTTTTAAAGATTTTATTTGTCAGAGAGAGTGCACGCATAGGCACGTGTAGGAGCAGGCAGAGGGAGAAGCAGGATCCCCACTGAGCAAGGAGCCAGACAAGAGACTCCATCCCAGGACCCCAGGATCATGACCTGAGTGGAAGTCAGATGCTTAACTGACTGAGCCACCCAGGGTCCCTCATTTGCATAATTCTTATTTTGTAAAAGGCAACATAACAATTCCTCAAAAAGAGAGAAACTTCCGGGGCACCTGGGTGGCTCAGTGGGTTAAAGCCTCTGCATTCGGCTCGGGTCATGATCGCAGGGTCCTGGGATCAAGCCCTGCATCGGTCTCTCTGCTCAGCAGGGAGCCTGCTTCCCTTCCTCTCTCTCTGCCTGCCTCTCTGCCTACTTGTGATCTCTATCTGTCAAATAAATAAAATCTTAGGGCGCCTGGGTGGCTCAGTGGGTTAAGCCTCTGCCTTCGGCTCAGGTCATGATCTCAGGGTCCTGGGATCGAGGCCCGCATCAGGCTCTCTGCTCAGCGGGGAGCCTGCTTTCTCCTCTCTCTCTCTATGCCTGCCTCTCTGCCTACTTGTGATCTCTCTCTCTCTGTTTCAAATAAATAAATAAAATCTTAAAAACAAATAAATAAATAAATAAAATCTTTAAAAAAAGTTATTAAAAAAAAAAAGAGAGAGAGAGAAACTTCCCTCAGATGCTGAATCCTAAAATGAATATATAATGTGTGACCTCACACAAAACATACTTGGGATCACTAAATCAGTGACTTCAACAATAGTGTTATGGTAAATGCAAACACCTTCTTCATATGGTTATTTCTTGTAGTCACTACTAATACAAGCTAAGAACATAACATGAAAGGTGACTCTGTAAAGACAATTCTACTGGATCCTACACTAATATAAATAAAGCTGCTGTGACTATTCATATACAAGTCCAAAAGCTTGTGGCCATATTATGCTTGTTACCGCAATTATATAACTTAATGAAGCAATATAGAGACTGCTGAAATAGAGGAGTTAAAAGAGAGAGTTGCTATTATTATGAAAATTAAGTTGAAAATAAGCAATACTTGTTGAAGATGAGCAACTAAGTCACACTGCCACTGAGTTAATTACGAGCAAGAGAACGATAAAGGTCTACAGAAGAAATTCACAAAGATCTAAAAAGAAGGTACTCAGACTGTTTCACAGGTGTATTCAAGATGTTACTCCACTTTAAAGAAACCAAAACAGGAACACTTAGATAATATGTTCTGTGTGTGGTCAGCTTATGTAACAAAATGAGAGGCATGTTATCATTCCTCTTGGGTAAAAACCTAGGGGTGGAATGGCTCAGTCATCAGAACCATTTTGTTTGTCCATTCCCTTGTCACCAGATATTTGGGTTGTTTCCAGTCTGATGCTATCACGGATAATGGTACAAGTCTTTATGTGGACACATAGCTTCATTTCTCATGGGTGAATATCTAAGAGTAGAATAAATACTTTTTGGGGTGGAGACACAGTGTACATATATAAAACTTTTGGTGTGAAAAGCCATCATATAACTCCATTCATGGAACCAGCTAGAGGATGAAGGTGAACTCAGGGCAAAGGAGAAAGCTCATCTAAAAAACAGAAAACCAAGATATGACCAGAAAGACAAATTAGAAAAGAACAAATCCACAGACGATGCACAAAAGCGTGAAAGGACTCTGGGATGAGGGCAAAACCATGTGGAATTTGGGGGCCAGAAAAGGGGAGATCTTCACTAGAGACAACCCCATGAAACAAATTAGGAACTGGCTAGGACTACTATCTTACCCGCTGTACTGCGGCAATCTCTGCTTTAAAGCACATATTCGGGGGCGCCTGGGTGGCTGGGTAGGTTGAGCATCTGCCTTTGGCTCATGTCATGATCCCCGAGTCTTGGAATCCAGCCCCGAGTCAGGATCCTTGCTCAACCGGGAGCCTGCTTCTCCCTCTCCTGCTCCCCCTACTTGTGTGCTCTTTCTCTCTCTCTCTGTCAAATAAATAAATAAAATCTAAAAAAGTAAAAAAAAAAAAAAAAAAAGAGAGAGAGAGAGAAAGAAAGAAAGAAAAGAAAAAGAAAAAAAACCACCATCCCGTTCCTTTCCCTCCCTACATCCCTAATCCCCCAAACTACACATCCCAGAATGCAACACGCGCCCCTCGCGAACGAGCGCTCCTCTCAGGGGGCAGTCACAGCCTACAATTCCCAGGAGGTAATGCGATCCCCTTCCCACAGCTATGCAAGACTCTGGGCCGGGGATCTCGGGCCATAAAGTCCACTCCCAGCTCACCTCCGAGCTCCGGGAGCCTTTCAGCACCTGCTTGGTGAGCGCGATCACGTCCGTACCACAGGTGTTCACCTTCTCGGTGAGGAGCCCCTTCACAGACTGACCGAATCGCGCTTGCGAATCTGGTGTCCCAGTCGCCATCACCTCGACTAGCGAACGTCTCAGTTTGGGCAACGGCGAGTCGCTGGGGCCAAAAGGCGTCAAGACGGAAGGAAGCGAGTCGGTGTGTCTCCACCGTGGGGTGAGAGGGGAAAGGAAGGGACGCATGCGCCCAGCGGAGATTGACTTTAGCTAACTTTAAATTCGTTTAAAATACTCAGTTGATACCCTGAGGAAGATAAAGCCCAGGCAGATGTCTCTGGTGGAAACAGAGGACAATTTCAGTATATCTTTGGGTTAGAATCAAAAGGCCTGGATTATAGTCCCCAGTTCTGCTATTTAGTTGTGTGACTCCAAATTACTCAAGCTTTGCATCTTGTGTTCATCAGTAAGAAGTAATAATATTCAAGTCTCCAGAGAATTACGAGAATGAATTAAGGCCATTCAGTTCAATTTTAATAAAATTTCATTTAGTAAATATCAAACTGTGCTAGGCTGAGGGTAGAGAAAGAAAAGATACAGACCTTGTCTCTGAGGAGCTCCTGGGCCATGTGACGAGCCATGTAAACAGCTAATAAATGGAGGAAATGCTCAACACCTTTAGTAATTTTTTATGATAAATGATCGGGTTTTTTTTTCTATTAAAAGCAAACTTGGATCATCACCTTGGAAGTGAATTAATACCTGCAGTGTTTCATGTAGCTCTATTTCTTTTTTAGCTAATGCACAAGAGATGAGAATGGTGTTATATTGTAAATTTTGTTCAAATAACCTGTACTCAGTATCAACATTACTTTCTAAGTGTCTAGATTCATGTCTCTGTTGCTTCTTTCATTTAATTTGTGTTCTTAATTTTATTGAGGTATAGTTTATGTACAATAACTATCTTCTTCTATAGTGTACATTTTGATTAGTGGGACAGATGTACACACCTGTGAACTACCACAATTAAGATACAGAATATTTTTATCACCCCCCAGAAGTTTCCAAGTGTCTATTTGCAGTCCATGTTGTAAGCAACAACCAATCTGCTTCCTAACACTATAAACTAATTTGTGTTTCTAGAATATTACATAATTGGAATGATACAGGAAATAATACAGGAAATATCCTTTTTGTCTAGCTTCTTTCAGCATAATGATTTTGAGAATTATCTGCATTGTAGTGTGTATCACTTGTCTGTTCCTTTTTATTGCTGAGAAACATTCTGTCATTTGACTATCTCATTTTGTTCATCCATTCACCTGTGGCTGGACATTTGGGTTGTTTCTACTTTGGGGCTATTATAAATAAAGCTGCAATGGCATTCATATATAAGTCCTTTTCTGGGTTGTTTTCATTTATCTTGGATAATATCTAGGAGTGGAATGGCTGGGTCATATAAGTGTTTAATGTTTCAAGAAACTGCCAGAGGTGCCTCGGTGGCTCATTGGTTGGGCCTCCAAACTCTTGGTTTCAGCTCAGGTCATGACCGCAGAATTGTAATCACAGCGTCTTGGGATCAAGCCCTGTGTCAGGCTTCTTGCTTAGTGGGTTGTGTGCTGAAGATCCTCTCCCTTTCCCTCTGCCCCTCCTCCTTCTCACTCTCTCTCTCTAAAATAATAAATAAATATACCTAAAAAAACTGCCTGGGCACCTGGGTGACTCAGTCTGTTGAATGTCTGCCTTTGGCTCAGGTCATGATCCCAGAGTCCTGGGATCAAGCCTTGTGTCAGGTTCCCTGCTCTGCAAGGAGTCTGCTTCTCCCTCTCCCTTTGTCTGTCCCCCTACTCATACTCTGTCTCTCTCTCTCAAACAAATAAATACGATCTTAAAAAAAAAAAAAAAAAACCCTGCCAAACCGTTTCCCAAAGTTTTTACCATTTTGTGTTCCTGGTAACAGTGTGGGGGACTCCAGTTGCTCCATCCTCACAAATTTAGGAAAAGACTGCTATGTAGCCATGGTAACAGCCACCTGTTGTAGACAGACTGGCCACTGACGGGTAGCCCCCATGATCCCCATCTTATGGTGTTCATATGCTTCTGTGATCCCTTTCTCTTACATGTGGGCAGGACCTGTGTCTTGCTTCTAACCAATAGAGTATGCACAGGTGATGGGAGACACATGATTGTGTATACATGGTTATGTGATTACAGAGACCGCAGGCCCATCTTGCTGAAGTCTCTTTCCCCTTTGCTGGCTGCGAAGAAGCAAGGGGCCATGTTGGAGAACTCCACATGCCAAGGAACTGCTTCTGGTCACTGAGAAATGAGCCTCCAGCTGACAGCCAGCAATAAATAAATAAATAAATAAATAAATAAGCATTCAATCAAACAGCCTAAAGGAACTGAATACTACTAACAGCCAGGCAAGTGGGGAAATAGATCCTTACCCAGTTGAGCCTCCAGATGAGAACCCAGCCCTGGTTCACACCCTGATGGCAGCAGCCTTGTGAGACCCTAAGTAGGTGGCCCAGAAAAATTGTAGTTTGATTCCTGACCCACAGGAACTATAAATGTGTGGGGTTTTTTTTCCTGTTTTGTTTTGTTTTTTAAGATTTTATTTATTTAACAACGAGAGAGATCACAAGTAGGCGGAGAGGCAGGCAGAGAGAGAGTGCAAGGAGGAAGCAGGCTCCCTGCTGAGCAGAGAGCCTGATGCCGGGCTTGATCCCAGGACCCTGGGATCATGACCTGAGCCAAAGGCAGAGGCTTTAACCCACTGAGCCACCCAGGAGCCCTATAAATGTGTGTTGTTTCAAGCCACCGTTTGTGGTAATATCGTTATACAGAAATAGACTAATATACCACCAGAACTTGTTTGAAATCTGTTCAATCAGTTAATGACAACCAACCTCAGTTAATCCCTTTTACAAATCAAGCAATCAGGGTCACTACTGAAAAGTCAGTCATCCAGTCAGTCATGCCAAAATTACCCCTCAGAATGCCAACCAATCAGCAACAGTCTCACCCAAGTAACACTTCTATAGATAATATCAACCTTCCTATGTCCATCAACCCCTGAAGTTTATACTTCCCCAAAACTCTGTTATGCTCAGCAGCCTATTTGGCTTAGAGAAACTTCCTGCTTGCCTTTATTATGATAAGCAAATTCAGTTTTGTCTTTATATGTCATATATTGAGCTATAGTCTTATTGTTTTTGATAATTCTAGAGGTTCCAGCGAGATCATTTTGAAGACCTTCATTGGCAGCATTCCAGGGATCCTCAGTTCAACAGGTCCACTTTCTGGACCTGTATAAGATCACGAGGCCTGGATCTCTGTATTAAGTAATTAGACCTTTGGGTCTGGAAATGCACCATTTAGTTATGAAATCTAGGTCTTTGTACAAGGTTTAAGACCTTTTGTTTGGTGGTATATTGTTTGATAAATATTTTTGCTGTTAAACATGATAATTCTGGGGCACCTGGGTGGCTCAGTTGCCCAGGTGCCCCTAATGTCAGGGTCTATATTTATAACTTAGCATGTTCCCCTTACCAGTAATAATAACTTGCTTGAGTCTGGGCTTTTCTAGAGATGATCATCACACTAACATTAAAAGTTAGTTTCCCCAAGCTATCACTAGTACAGTCAGCTTGAAAAACAATATACCAATATTGGTACCCTTCCTAAAGTCCTAAAGAAGAAGGGCAAGATACACCAATAAATATTTGTCACGACACCCAGAGACGCTATACTTCAGCTCCATCAAGGTTGATAGATTTTCTTGTGTAGCTTCTGAGTTCTGTTTCATATGTTGCAATTAGACTGTTTACTGCCATCCCAGACACAAGGTTAAGTATTCTGTAGGGCCATTCCAAGGATATGACTCTCCCACATCCTCAATAGACAGTATCTCCACAGAGTCCAAAAGAATAAAGTCAGTTCTGTGAAGAGGCTCTTCTTTCTCCCTTACTCAAAATTTCCTGTTAATAACATTTTGCATTCCTGTGGTATATTTGTTTAAATTGCTGAACCAATATTGATGCATTATTACTAAACAAAACTCATACTTTCCATTAGGATTCACTTTTTGTGTTGTTTGGGCTTTATGGGTTCTGATAAATGCAAAATGTCATGTATCCACTATTACGGTATCGTGCAGAATAGTTTTAGTGCCCTAAAAACTCCCTGGACTCCACCTACTCAGCCCTCCTCCCTCCCCTTGTGCCCCTGGCAACCCCTGACATTTTTCCTGTCTCCCTGTCTGCCTTTCTGAAACTGTCAATCACTTGGAACCATACAGCATGTGGCCTTTTCAGACTAGCTTCTTTAAATAAACAGTGTGTATTTAAACTTCCCCATGTCTTTTTGTGGTTTGATAGCTCATTTCTTTTCATCACAGAATAATATTCCTTTGTATGAATGTACCACAGTTTGCTTATCCATTCGCCCATTAATGAATGGTTTCTCCCAGTTTTTTGCAATTATGAATACAGAGGCTATAAACATTTGTGTGTAGGTTTCAAGTGGACGTAAATTTTCTACTGATTTTCTTAAAAACCAGGAGCACAATTGCTGGGTCATGTTTTTTATGGCGACAAAATAGAAATAACATAAAGTTTACCATCTTAACAATTTTTTTAGTGGACCATTCAGTAGTATTAAGTACATAACAGTGTACTGATATAGCCACTGCCCCTATTTCCCAGACTTTTTCACTGTCCCAGACAGAGACTCTGTACTTATTAAATAATTACTTCCTATTTCCCCCTCCCCTCCAGCCCTTGGTAACCTCTATTCTGATTTATGTCACTATGAATTTATCTATTCTAGATGCCTCTTGCAAGTGGAATCATACAATATTTGTCCTTCTGTGTCTAGCTTATTTCACTTAGCAAAAGTTTTTCAGTTAATCCATGTCGCAACATGTTTTAGAACATCGTTCTTTTTTATGGCTGAGTAATAGTCCATTTTGTGTGTATATAACACATTTGGTTCATCCATTCATCTGTTGGTGGACTCTTGGGTTGATTCCACCTTTTGGCTATTGTGAATAATGCTACTGTGAACATTGGTGTACAAGTATCTATTTGAGTTCCTCTTGTCAATTCTTCTGGACATATATGTAGGTATAGAAATGCTAGCTCAGACAGTAATTCTATGTTTCACATTTTGAGGAACAATCATACTTTTCCACAGAAGCTGCACCATTTTACATCACCACCAGCAATGAATGACGTTTCCAATTTCTCTGTGCTTTCACCAATACTTGTTATTTTCTGGGGTTTTTAAAAAATATAATAGCCATTCTAATGTGTATAAAATGATAAGAATGTTTAGTTTTGGGGGCGCCTGGGTGGCTCAGTGGGTTGGGCGTGATCTCGGGGTCCTGGGATCGAGCCCCGCATGGGCCTCTCTGCTCAGCGGGGAACCTGCTTCCCCTTCTCTCTCTGCCTGCCTCTCTGCCTACTTGTGATCTCTTGCT